GCAAATGGGAAGATGTTAATAGTGGGGTGACCCCAGACATCAATGCCAGAGCTGGTGCTGGTCAATTTAGTTATTAATGACTTGGGACGGAGGGCGGATAATGACGTGACATTTGCCAATGGCACAAAAGTATTTAGTGAGTCGGGGCAGAGAGGAGTGGGAGGGACAAAAGTAAATCAGTTGTTGGGCAAGTGAAACTCATCTTCAGCCAGTTCAAGAAGACACACATTGGAAGGAACAATTTAAATTCCTCCAACACAGGGATGGGTTCTGAGTTCCCTGTATCCTCTCTGGCACAAAAATCTAGGGTTCACTGTGGACAGCACAGTAAAGATGTCCGCTCAGTGCTCATGAAAACAAGTGCCTAAGATTCTGGGATGTAGTTAGATGGGGTTTGACAAGAATACAGGTCTCCCCTTCCTGATTACGTCTCAATTCTTGGGCAACTAAGGGCTGGTGTGCTGTGGAGTTATAACATCCACCTGTCACTGCAAGAGGCAGAAGCCCAGTACTGCTCAAGAGCAAACCCAAGTGATAAAACAGCTCTGACGAAAGGGTACACAGACCTAGTTCTTCTTGGCTGGAACTAAGATGGTTGTGAAGTGGTGCTTTGCTGGGAACCACAGAGATATAGCAGACCCTATGAGAGTCACAAACCCAACCATAGCAAAGTGGTACTTCACCCTGGGCACTTTTGGCTTCCCGTATGGGGCACAAAGAATTTCAGGGTTTTGTATTCTTTAAAATACAGCTAGCAAAGTGAATGTTTTTAAAGTCAGCAGTAGATTGAGTGACCAGTGCATTAATATCCATGAGAAGCAAAAGGGACAGCAACCTTATTTGTGACTCAGCCAAAATTACTCCAAACCCCAAAGGCTGGGTTGCTAAAGGATTTTTTAGTTTGTTTTTTAGTGTGTCTGACATTTTATAGCATCAATAATACAAACAAAGGGGAAATCATATTTGCAGAATATTAATGCATGGATGTCCAAAGCAAAATACAATACCGATTACTTTTTACATTAGGCCACCAAGTTTGATTTTCTTTGTTGGTTAAATTGGTTGACCATATTCTTTCCATAGTCAAAAATGACACCATGACGTTCTCTGTAACCTTGGAGGCAACCCTTCCAGCTGTATTCTAATTGGGGATAGCAAATACAGGTTCAAAAAAGAGTTTATAGGCCTGATTTCAGAGATGCAGAGGACACACAACTCCAGCTGAGTCAATGAGAGCTTTATAAGAACATAAGAATGGTCATATTGGGTCAGACCAAAGGTCCATCTAGCCCAATATCCTGTCCTCTGACAGTGGCCAATGCCAGGTGCCCCAGAGGGAATGAACAAAACAAGTAATCATCAAGTGATCCATCCCGTCACTCACTCCCAGCTTCTGGCAAACAGAAGCAAGGGACACCATCCCTGCCCATCCTGGCTAATAGCCATTGATGGACCCATTCTCCATGAACTTATCTAATTCTTTTTTTGAACCCTGTTATAGTCCTGACCTTCACAACGTCCTCTGGCAAGGAGTTCCACAGGTTGACTGTGTTGTGTGAAAAAATACTTCCTTTTGTTTGTTTTAAACCTGCTGCCTGTTAATTTCATTCATCTAGTTCTTGTGTTATGAGAAGGACTAAATAACACTTCTTTATTTACTTTCTCCACAGCCATCATGATTTTATAGACTTGTATCATATCCCACCTTAGTCATCAATTTTCCAAGATGAAAAGTCCCAGGCTTACTAATCTCTCCTCATATGGAAGCTGTTCCACACCCCTAATCATTTTTGTTGTCCTTTTCTGAACCTTTTCCAATTCCCATATATATTTTTTTGAGATGGGGCGACCACATCTTCACACAGTATTCAAGATGTGCCTAGAATTTTTGCCATTGATTATAGACATATATGAGTTCAGAGATGAACAAGAAGAGCAAGGCATAAAGAATAGCTAGAATGAAGGATACACCCTCAAGTCCCGACATTGTCTAGCTGACAGTACTTATCTACACAGAGGTAATCAAAAGGACTAGGTGACATCACTGGTACTTACTAATGCCTGTTGAGAGCATTGTCTCTAGCACACAAGGGAGGAGAAGGCAGTTCCGCTTCTGTACCTTGAAACTTTTGCTGCTGAAGCTACTCTTAAAGAAAATACCAAGGGTACTTGCTCCTACCTTGCAGTTTGGATTTAACAGCCAGAGCAAAGAAATAAGGAGTTTGGACTTCTCTTGCAACGGCCTTTGACTTCTGCAGAATGAACTACGTGAACTCCTTTAATTTATGCATCTTTTGTCATGCTCACAGTTTAAATAGTTAGCCTCTTGTTTGGTTGGTTAACACTAGATGCAGCCTGTTGGCAGCAGCTGTGAGAGTGAGTGGCATTGCTCACCGGATCAGGTCTCATCAGTGCCCTAGTTTGGAGTTAATCAGAGAGAGAAGCTAACAGCCACTGGTTAACCAGTTCCTTTTAACTACAACTGTCTGCTTGTGGACACATGGCAGGACCTGTTTGTCAATAGCAAAGAGCCTTTCATCCTCTTGATTTAAATACCTTGGGGGGATTAAAAAAAATATGGGCTAAAACTCCTGTCACTTTAGCAGAGGAGAAAGCCTGTCTCAGCCGGAATGGCCTGGATGAGGTCAGAGCCACGTTCTGCTGAGGTAAAAGAAACACAGTCGCTTGCCAGGCTCTTCTCCTTCTTCTCAAAGAGGGGGGGTGGGACACCCTTGGTTTCAGCTGGGATTTACAGGAGATATCCCACACGCATCACAATGAGTTTTGCTGTAAAATTCACTGCACAGAGGTTAATCTAGATGTCAACATTGCCTGACAGCAGTGGAATTACTCCAGGGCAGTGCTCCTTCTGAAGTCTTAATATAACAGTCAATTCCATCCTGCCTGCAGGAAATGAAAGTTTTCTGCTTTGTGTGCAGAATCATTCAGCGCCAATTTTCTCACTGTTTGAAGTCCAAACTATGGGCTTCAGATTCACCTCACATTAAGACTTTCGCTCAGTTTAAAAAGTCCGTTTGCCACTCCCGGAGAACTACAGGGACAGAAAGGAAACGTGTGGGGGGTGGAGTGGCGGGGGGTGGGGTATGAGGGAATCTTATTGCATCTCCACCAGGAAACTCACAGGGCTTGTGCCAGTCCTATTTTTCCGGAAGGAAGCAAATGCAGCAACTTCACTTATCTAAATATCAAGCAGCAAAGATCTGGGAGGCTGGAAACCAACAGAGAGCCAGTGTGCGCAAAAGAAAAAATGTTCAGACCTCCCAATGCTATGATTTCCTTCACAGAGGCATTTCAGTCATCTCCTGCTGGGCCCTTGTCTTAAGAAGCCAGTAGTTCTGCAGCTCAACACCTCTTCAGAACAGCTGCTGGGCTATGGCTTCAGGCTGTAGGATCAGTCCCTTTTTTAGTCTGGGAGATTAGTTCCCATAGGGGATCCCTGAGTGCCAATGGGAGTTATGTGATAATCATCCATTTTCTTTGAGGAATGTTAGAGCTGGTTGTTTTAGAAGCAGGGGCTGTGAAGAAGCCTTGCGAAATTGTGGCCAGTGAGAAACCACAGAAGCTAGAGATGAAAATGACCTATTAGATCACTTAGCCTGTCTACTGGGGCCCTAAGCAAGATCGTTCCCCACAATTGTCTAACATAGTTTTAAAAGCTGCAAGCAATGAGACTTCCTCCACTTTGGTTGGGAACCTGTTCCACTGCCTAACGTCGTGCAGACAAGGAACAAGGGGCACGGAAGTGACTGAAGGGCGCACCGTTACCTCTGTATTCCACTGGGAGCAGAGACTACATACGCTTGTGCCATTGGCCACTCGGGTGTGTGTGTGTCTTTGTACGCATTCACTCGGCTAGACACAGGACCTGCAAGGTCCCAGCCAGGAGCACAGTTTCTAGCAGTGATTCTGGAGAAGAGCTAAGCAAGTTTTTCCACTTAGCCATTGTGCTAATGGGACACAAATTGGCACGCTCCCCCCTGCAACTTCTTCTCCTTTGCAAGCCGACAGCATACTCACCCCAAAGGTGCAGTCCCATCCTGCTCCTTCAAAAAGACACAGTAGCACAGCAGAGCTTTTGGGGATGTGCCTTTGCACCGAACCAAAGCATGGACCTGCTGAGTGCTTTTCTTGGCATGGGCGTCCTGTCTTCCCACCATGAGCAGGGCAAAACTGTATGGAGCCATCAGACCTGATCACCAGCCAACCCCCCGCCCCGCCCCGCCCCGCCCCGTCAGCTCCCCCTGCATGTGAAAATCCACATTTAGAGAAAGCGAGTAGGCGTCTCAAAAGCAGAGAGGAGCCATTGCAGAGGCGTAACTATCCAGCACAGAACACAACCCAGGCTCTTCCTGGTAAACAGGAGGGACTGCTTCACAGCCAAGACCTGGCCCATGCAAAGGGAACGACCCAAGAACGACCCAAGTGCTAAATATCCCATCAGAGATTAAATCCTCCCAGATCCCCCTCTTTGTACAAAAAATACTAGAGGCTTAAACCAAGTCCCAGTGAATGGAGAGCCAAGGGGGCAAGCTATCCTTTCTGGTGTGTCTGTCTTCTCAACAGTTGGTTCTTCCCTGCCCCAAAACTGGCACGTCCTCATCTGACAGATACTCTAGGCTCTCCCTTGCATTCTCGCTCAGGCCTCAGCATGGCACCACTGCCAGCTTCCCATTTAGTGGTGTGTAACTGAGCTTCAGCTGCTAAGCCCCAGTAACTGTACAGGGGAAAGCACAGGGCATGGGCCACAGTTTTGGTCTAGTAAACTGGTACAGCTGCCCCAGAGGAGGGGAAGCACTGTACTGGGCCACCCTTAGGTGTAAAAGTCACCTGCAGAGAGCAAGGAGTAGCCTTCAGTACATTTGGCTACCAGCCTTGAATGCAACATTTTTCACACACAGGCTGTAAAATGAGACTCGGCGTTGGGTGCAGGAAGTGAAACGCCTCATTATAAAAATAAATATGCAACTGTAATAAAGATCCCAGCTCTGAACAGAACACACTTTAGATGCAGACTCACCAATGACAAATACATACACCCAACGAACAACAGCGCTTAAATCAAGTCTTTCTTCACCTGCCAGCCGAGACCCGGTTCTCTGTTTCTGCAGTTACAGTTGCTGATATCGCTAGCACATTAGGCAGCAAAAGCACTTGGGTCCTAAGAAGTAAAAGCCTTTCTTCGGAAGAGAAAACAACAGCCTTAGCTTTGGATTTCCCTGCCTTTGTCCCTGAAAGGTTTAATATTGCTCAGGCCTTGTTCTGCTTGTATTTCAGATGAGAAAAGCTCACAACACAGCACAGTTCAGACCCCTGCCTGCTGGTGACCTTTGCTTTTTCGCCAGGGTTTGCCCAGAGTTATAGCCTCATTTTCCTGTAGTCTCAGTCACACAATTTATTTTTTGTTTATTTCAGTTTCTACCATCAGCACCACTTGGAATTTAATAGAACACTAGCCCTTCCTAATACAACTATGGTTTACTTAACCCAGGGATGTTATGGTTTACTTAACGGCCAAGGGATGTGCTGGCCGCTGCTTCCCGCAGCCCCCATTGGCCCAGAGTGGCGAACCACGGCCATCGGGAGCTGCGACTGGCCAAACCTGAGGACATAGCAGGTAAACAAACAGGCCTGGCCCACCAGGGGGCTTACCGTGGCAGGCCGTGCGCCAAAGGTTGCCGATCCCTGACTTAACCCAAGTAGTGTGCTGGACTTGTAATACTGTCCCCTTCCTTACGAGGTCTTTTCCAAGTGCTGTCTAATTGAGACAGCTTATTCTACCCACTACTGGAGAGAGGCAATCGGACATGCTTTGAAGATCACATTTTCAAAAGCAGCCTCTGTAATGGAACCCCATTTTCACACTTGCTTTTGCACATATATTCCCCCACACTGAAGTTTTTGCATGCCATTTTTCACACCCAAGTTCATGCAAATTCAAAACCCTGAATTCACATGCATGTGCCAGCTGATCAGGTTTGCACAAACAAAGCATCTAATGACCATCCAAGTCTAAGAGGTGTGTGCAAAAACTGGAGTGTAGAAAGCTTTGTGAGCAACAATACAGGCATGCAAAATAGAAGGCTGACTTCAAGAGATGGGGTTGAGCCCCATTTAAACACTGAGTGCTCGATAGCCCACCCTCAAGAAGTATCCGCTTCACCTAAATGTTAGAAATGGGAAATCACAGACGTGAAAAAAACAAAACATGAGGTCACTGAGACCACAACCCAGGGCCAACCACAGCACAGCGCCCTCTTGCCCAGCAGGTGTCCATCTAGGTGAAACCCTCGAAGGGATTTGCCTGGGTTAATCTTTTCCCTAAGTAAAAGTGCCCCACTGCCAGTGCCAGGAAGGGCAACAGTCCTGTTCTCAGCTAAGGTCCAGGACCGCCCTCAGGTCTGGCCCACTTCCCCTTTCAAAAGGCATTTGGGGACCAGCTCAGTTAAAGGAGTCGAGTAATGGGAATGCCCTGGTGTGGGGATGTGGGGAGGGGAACTGAAATAAGCCTAAGCCAGAGTCAACTGCGGTCCTTGGGCATGGCATGAGTAGCCAGGCTGGGGGAGAGCTCTGGTGTTCCTGGCAGCAGAGCAATAGCTAACCCTCTTCATGGGGGGAGCAAATGGATGATCTGCACAATGTTGGAGTCACTTGTGCCTCCCTGGCCCACAAAGGCACCCACATTCTAGAGTAGATCTTTGCTTTGGGGCACACTGTATGGGTTTCCCCAAACCCTGAGCTATCTCTGACACAGTGGGACCACAAAGGCTCCACAGCCATCAGGAACTTCTGGTCCTGTGGTGGGTGAAAGAGCCACCCACGCAGACTAAAGGGGCTCTGTATTAATTCCAGCAAACAGGAGACTCCTGGGTATTTTCCCCTATAACTCGGCCCAGTGTCCTTCCCAACTCCCACAGCACGTCTGCAACTATTTCCTCTCACCCGTACAGAAACTAAACTAACAGAAGCAAAACCTGACACGCACAGGCCCAAAGCAACAGCAGCAGGGGAATCAAGACTCCATGCCACGGTATCAACCCTGCCTTGCTTTTTTGCTGAGCAGCTGCTCAAAACAAGCTTTGACAAGAGAACCTTTCCCCAATGCCATAATTGCATTTGGTGGGGCTAAGAATGGGGCAGTCTGACAGCCTGAATCTCGGTGTCGAGAGCTTAACATCTTTCAGGGGACATCTTTCTTCTTTTCATTAGACCAGTTATTAAAAACCATGCTGCATTCAGGCCTGATGTCTTTCCTTGCTCCTGCCCTGACCTTGCTCAGATGCCCACACACAGAGCTGGCTTGGGGAACCCACCACCGATGGGATGGGGTGGTTGGGAGGGATCCCTGGTTTGCAGCAGAGCTGGAAGGTGGGGTGCTCCTGAATTTAACATGGAATTGTAGGGTCTATGAGTGCTATGACTGGGGAAAGGGGTTTGAAGGGTTAGTTAAATGGCGGGGAGGAAGGGAAAAGACGGGGTGTCCCCCTCACCAAAGCCAGCTCCCATTGTCCAGGTGCCCCAGGAGAACAAAGCCATGCAGAGCATGGGGGGAGTGGGGCACTAGATTGTGGTTTCTCTATGATCTCTGGGGCCATTAACACCCCTTCCCTGCCTGTCCTCCCGCCAACAGCTCAGTTCTGTTATTCAAAGTGACCCGTACACAATCATTCAGCATTGTAACGAAACAACCCAGCACACTGCCCTGACTCCAGAGTCTGCTGCACTGGCCTCGCCCCTTACCGCCAAGCACTGACAGATCCTGGTTTTTGTAAGGCGGGCCAAGGAGTCACATTTTGTCTCCCCTCCCCTCCCCAATGTCTTTATTACAGCAAGCACCACCTGGACCAAATAAGCCACTGCACCCACCCCTCTCCAGCAGCCTCAGCCCCTGCAGACTCTACTCCACTAGCACCAGAGGGGCCTTCCCCTGGATCTGCTTTCTTCCCCTCCCTGTGCCAGGGCCCCCTCCTCTGATTTAAGCCAGCAGCAAGACAGCTTCAGATAAATGGGGTGATTGTATGGGGCGGAGAAGGGGGTTTCCTCTGTGCAGCGAGCCACAACTATGTCACCACCTGGACAGAAGCATCCTTTCTCGAATGCAGCCTGCCCTGTCGATTGCTCTGGGAGGGGGGTGTTGGATGGGGGGAGGAGAGAAGATCCCCCCACTCCTTCCATGACAAGGGCCACATCCCAACAAGCTATTTCTGGGTCTACAGCTGTCACCTTTCAAACTCTGCCTTGACAGCACCCTCCTCCTGGCTAGAGCTGCCAAGCGGCATGTTGTCCCCTCATCCTCCATTAGCCAGAGGAGAAACGAACCAGAAATGTTTTGTTTCCCAGGCCTGCTTCGAGCAGGAGCCCACCTCTGAGGAAGCCTTTTGCCAGGAAGTTGATTCCTTTTATTGATGGGGGCGTGGGATAGGGACTGCTTCTCTGCCCCTCCCTTGGCTGTCCCAGTCCCCTTGGCCAGGCCTTTGTCCTCATTGACATGCAAGGCTGGCCGCAGTGGCCATTTGCTGAGCCGTCTACTCGGGAAAGCACCACCTTCCCCTCCCCCCAGCTCCCCGGGTTACCAGTGGAGCTATTCTTCAGCCTCTGCATTTTCACAGCAGCTCAAAGGCAGATGCATCAATCCTTTCAGGGCCTGGAGACGTGAGGGGAATGTCAACAGGGCCTGGGCAGGTGCTGATAGGTTCCCAGCCATCTCCCAGACCCCTTCGTTTCCCCTGCACCACCCCCATCCCTTTGGCAGATATACTAGGTATTGGACCAAGGGAGAGGGGGGTGGATGGTGGAGGTGGGGGAAAGGAAGGAGGGGCAGCATGGCGTACTAACCCTGAAGAGCACCCCTGAAGCCGTGCAAGCCAGTCCCCAGCCAGATGACAAACTACAGCCTTTGAACACACGCTGGGGGGGGAAAGCCCTGATTTCAGCGCTGTTGCGCCAGGGATGAATTTGGCCCATCTGTATGGCGGGGGCTCTCCTCACATCTCTACCATGTCTCCTGGCAAAATAAGCAGGGTGGATGGTTTTGCTTTCAAAAACACCCCCTATTTGGGGGCGACGCATGGGCTGGGTGCCTGTCCCGCATGCCAAAGTGAGGTCAAAGCATCCTTACAATGGCACAGACCCCTCCCCAACTCTGCTCTCTGTATGGCTCTCCCAGGCAGCTGCTCTGGTCCCCGGCACTGATCCCCAGAGTCTGACAAAGGATTGGCGCTGGGCAATAGAAAGGTTCAGTTCCTCTTGTCTGTGTTCTGTGGGAGGGTGGCTGTTTCTCGTGTGTGGTTTACCCGTAGGTGCCGCGATCCTTTACTGTATGTTCCGAAAGCCTTGAGTCTATACATTTAAGAATTGGCAAATTAGAAAAATTGTCCTGCAATGTCAAAAGGAGGAAAAGGGTGGGAAGGTGGGCGGGTGGAATTGCAAGTTCCTCCAGGGGCACTGCCCTGGCTCAGAGCCCAAATGTCCAGGCAGGGACTGAGTCACACATTCAGTGCATATCTTACAAACGGGGCAGGGTCTCCTCCCAGAGCTTTTCCCTGGGACTGAGTCTCTGCGCTAGCAAGAGTCTTGAGCTCAGCCCGAGCGGACAAAGCACAGCAAGGTCATGTTTCACTTCTCCACAGCTTGGGGGAAAAGATTCCTCCTTTTTTTTTTTTTAAGTACTTTAAGTTTCTTCTCTTCTTTTTTGTTTTATTTTTTAAAGTCTTATAGTTTCTGTAACAGCAGCTTCTTTCTGTATTGGTGTGGAAGGTATATATATCTATATCTATATATCTATAAATATATATAAGCCAAACTGCCTTACAGGTTGTTTTGTTTTGTTTTTCAGTGTTGTATGTGTAGCAGGCACTTGAGTTTATATGAAGATGTTTGCTTGGGGGCTGAAAGGGGTGGGGAGCAGAGGAGGTAGGATGGGTGGAGGAAGGAAGGAGCAGGAACTTTTGACAAGTGGCCACTGCTAGCCAAGGATGTCCAGGTAGATTGGTGTGGCCTTGCCAAGAGCATGAAGGATCTTGTAGATTTCCTTGATGTTGAGCCGCTGCTGAGGTTCCCTCTGCCAGCAGCCCAACATGATGTCATAAACCTCCTTGGGACAAACTCGAGGCCTCTCCAAGACTCGGCCTTGGGTGATGCACTCGATGACCTGAAACGCAGAACAGAGAGGGTGAGTCTCACACAGCGAAGCGCTGCGAATGTCCCTTTGCCGAATCTGCTTAGCCCTGGATGGTAACCAACATTTCATCAGAGCACTAAGGAGCCAGCAGATCCCTCTGATTTGAGGTGTGCAGGCTCCCAGCAGGTGATATGCAGCAACAGATTCTCAGCACCTGCCTCCTGCTTTGCAGCTGCAGTTTTGCAATCTCAGTGAAACATACTTTTGATTTTGCAACCACTATTAACTCCAGGCACAACTCCTCCCAGTTTGACACCTAATTACCTGACTGTACCTATGGACCAGAAGGCTTCGTCAAAGAAGGAGTCCAATGGTAATTTATATAGAGGAGAGGCTGAACCTGACATGTCAGGTTTTCCTGGTGGTCTAAGAAAAAGTTAATTTTTTTTATATCATCAGTCTTTCCCCCTGCTGAAAATAAAAGCCTTTTCCATGGTGAAACTCAGGAAAATTCTACTAGGGGGATTTCAGAGCAACATCTCCCACCTGCCTCTCCCAGGGCAAATTTGTCTAATTTTTGATGTTTGTAAGCAGGAAAAAAAAAAAAAAACACTGTTTCATCTTGGATCAAATTCATGATGGAAGAAAATCTTGCAGATGTTCACACCTCACTCTAGGTCAGGTTGTTGCCGCTAATGAGAAAAATGCGAGCGGCTCGTGCAGCATGAAATGGCATCTTTAGAGTGACTCCAGGGGAAAACAATTCCCCAAGCACCTGCTTTTTGAATCCTGCTCGCCAGGGAAAAGGCTGTAAAGGGAGGAAAAAGTGACTTGTCAGAGAGCTGTTATTACTGACTAGTCCCCTGTCTGGGAAGTGATGAGTCACCCGGCACTGCCGTAGCTGATTGACCTAACACACACTGCAGATAAACACAGATCCCAAACAGTGCTACTTGCGAGGCAAGTAGACCAGCGAGGGGGGCCTGAAGTTTATCATTTGTGACTAGTAATGGGGCCCGGCACGCATCCAAACAGACAGTTATCACTCTGATATTTGCATAGACATAGCGAGAAGAGAAAGCGATTAGGAGGAGCTGTGGATGGGAGGGCGATGGAAATGCAGTGCTGCAGACAAGGCTCCATCACTGTACAGCTGATGGCAGAGACAACTTTCTGAGCCTTGGTGGAGCAGGCAGAGAGACATGAACTAGGACCACTAAAAAGCTTCCTATATTTGAAAGACCCATGGTGAGCCCCTATCTTTAGAGAGGAAGCAAGGTTTAGATTTAGCCAGTAGGGCTAGCTTTGGGTCTTCAGGTGGTCTTTCACTAGCCATGTGCCCTATTCCATCTTCCCCTCAGCGAGGGTCTCATCTAGTGTTTAGCAGAACGTCTAAAAATGCTCATTTTAACTTTAACCAGCCAACAGCCAGATAAAATCTAGACTTGTGTCCCCTGTAGATGTCCCGGAGTGGAGAAGGTGTGTCCCAGACCTGTTCATCCTCATTAAAAGTGAATCTAAGATCTGGTGGAGTCAGTTCTCCAGAGGCCCCTGGACTCTGCATGAGTCTCCACAGCTTGCTTCTAACCAGCAGGCCAACAGCAAACACATCCCTAACATTTGGGAAGATTTAATGTGCAATGTCTTGCACAGGTTGCCTATGAATTCTCTCCTTTGAGGAGAAAAGGGAAAGGGACAGAGGAAAGACAGGGTCAGGTAAAGATGGAGGTGACTATGGTTAAAAGTCACCCTGTCTGGATGTGGCAGTACTATTCCTAGCCCAACAGTACCAGCTTTATATGTTCAAAGCGCTGTTTAAGGTTAGTAGATGGGTTAGTTTGATTATCCCCATTTCACAGATGGGAAAACTGAGACAGGTGCAGAGACATTTGTGCGGTCTGGGTTCCAGCATGACAGCTCATCCATGTGGGATGTATGTACACTCATTTGTGTGTGTGTGTGTGTATTTATCTCCAAGGCAAATGCAAGAGCAGCTCATTAAGTATCATAACAAATGGCTTCTGTGATCATTTCTCTCACTCTTTGTGTCTCTAAAATGTTTGTGCGTACTGCTTCAGGAAGGGCACTGAGCTCACAAATGGGCAAGTATTAGCGATGTAAAGAAGCACCTTGGATAGTCCCTCTCTGCACTCACTCAATTAAGGGATCTGTGTCCGGAAAGCAGAAAATGCACATTTCTTGTTAAAAGAGGTAACTTTTCTGGAATCCATTAGACACACAATAGGATAAAATGTGCACGTTTCCTGGGCACAGCTCTGTCACTGCACTCAAACGTGAGCTGGAGCACTGCCAGCTGTTCCAGACCTGCCTCCCCTGGATGTAACTGACCTGCAGCAACCCCTACTAGCCCAGTTCTGAGAGTGCTTCTGTGCTTATCTAGCCAAACAGCGTGGTGGGTATGTTGCTAAATCATGGTTTTGGGCGTCAAGGGACCTGGGATCTATTCTCAACTCTGTCACTGTGTCAGGCTCTTTGCCTCAGTTTCCCTATCTGTGAAATAGGGACAATAGCTATCCCTCTGAAAGGTGCTTTAAATTCTATGCCTAAAAAGAGCCATAAGAGTGGCAAGCATTAATTACCACTGTTATTGTGAACATCTGGGAGATGACCCGCAATCTCAGTGCACTGATTGCTCTGAAAGCCTTGTTGCAAAGAGGGCAATGGAAGGAGAACAGCCCTTCTCCCCATGAGCAATAATGTTCCATTTTTATGGCCAGATCTGTCCCTCCCGCATTCGCCCACACCTCCCACTGGGGTCAATGGGAGTTGTACATGAACATACAAGGGAAGTGCCTGGACCATAGGTGTTCGTTGTGCATTGGTATTTCCCAATTTTTCCCCACTTTGGGGTGCACACTGAACAGCCTGACCCAGCTTTCTATAAATATTGGGGTCCACCCCATCCCTGCCCCTCGCCACCTGCAGCCCTCACTGTGACCAACATTTTACATACCCGAGGTTGGGAATTCTGCTGGAAATAATTTACTTGCAACAAGCTGCTCCTTAAAGTCAGCCCAGCCAACCCAGTGCCAGTGTTGGGTGCATTAGCCCCCATGTACCTTACTTTACTTGTGGCTGACTCAAACCTAGGAGGAAGGGGCAGGGAGTGGAATGGGAGGAATTATGGGTTGGGGGCTCTTCTCAAAGTAAGAGCCTCTGTCAGGCTACATTTCCCAGATGGAAGCCATGGCTTCACCTGGCCCTTCCTCTGCGAGGCCATGACGCTGTTATGGACAATGGCACCCAAGGTGGGGGAGGGCTAGGACTTCCTCCTGAGAATGTGGAAGGCAGTGGTGTACCCCGGCTTCCAAGATGGATAAGGGAGGCGAAATAACCCACCTCCAGATCTCGAAGTGCAAGAAGCATGCTGTGTGACTATGCTCCTTTCCATCATGTCTCGCCTCATCTCCCCTCCCCAGCCAAAGATGCTATGGTTTATCCTGTACCTCTGTGTTTGAGAGCTGGAACCAGGGCTGCTTCCCATATGTGAAGATCTCCCAGAGGATCACCCCAAAGCTCCACACGTCACTCTCCGTTGTGAACTTCCGGTACATGATGCTCTCAGGGGGCATCCAGCGGATGGGCAGCATGGTGTGTCCTCCAACCTGCATGGGGACAAAGGCACAGGCAAATCTATCAGAGCCATAAGAGAGGGGAAAGGCTTCACTTAGAGCAGGCTACCCATGTGGATGCTCAGACAGGCTAGGCAAGCTAACTCCTCCCTCTAACCCACACACACTCACCCATCAATGCAAACTGGCTAATATCCTAATATGACAGATTGGAAGTGAAATATATTGAGATAAATGATGAGCTCCAAAGATTTCCCTCTTCCCAAACCTGACGTACAAAGTAACACAACAAAATGCCTAGAACGTGTTCAACTGCTGATGAAGCAACAAAAGGCAGGAAATGTACGGTCTAAACCAAAGTGCTATCCTTAGCCTTCCTGGGCCTAGATATTGCAGAGTGAATGGCATATTCGGCTTTATGACTGAAATACATAGAAATACGTACAGCAGAGGTATGTCAATGTTCTTTATAGCTTTCCTGCTGCCTAGGACAGCCTCAAACCGGTTTGGGCTCCTATTAAATAACTGCACAAAGGGGTGTTCACCCAGAAAATTGCACCAGGAATCCACTCAGAGACAAGCAACTGAAGGTGCAAAAGCACAGTCAGTGGATGAAGGCTTGGCCTTCAAATTCTTAGATACCATGGTGATGGGCGCAGCAGAAGAACCTATTCACAAAGTAAAGTCCTCCCCTTCACAATGTCTGAAATCTGTGGAGCCCTTGAAATAACAGCCTGAGACTATTCCTCCGAGGAATGCTGGGCAGGGAAAGCATTTTTGGGACAGAGTTCCCCCATTGCCAGTACATTTCAGTCCAACGGGGAAGTATGCAAGCAGCAGCAGCAGCAGGCAAGCAGAAGGAATCGCCTTGTCCTTGCTAGAGATTTTTGTACAACTCAAAGTCTCTTAGTAGAACCAGCTTCTCTCTGTTCTGTCCTTCAATACAGGAATCACCATCTGCAGGGGGAATAACTAATTGATAGGAGTTTTGAACAGCAGGTGTTGAGAGCAGTATGGCTCCGTGTCTCTGGCATTCATCTCTTGCGAGGGCAGAGTATCCCAGAGACTACCATTTTTTTTGGTACTGATGCTGCAAGAATTCCTTCTGTGTGAGTGTGTGTCTGCACGCGCACGCTTGGGAAGCTCTTGTCATACTATTACGGATACCGAGCAGTGCAAGCACGGAAGTTCAACCATGTGGCAGCTGGAATGAAGCGGCTGGAGTCTTCCTCGGTTTCTGGAGATGAGCAGAGGCAAAGACTGCTGCTTCTTGGGACAGGGGCCGGAGTGCCTGACCTGAAATTTCAGCAACACAGGGCGGCCTGCGTGCAGGGTGCTGCTGCTGCCATTTGTGGAAAGAGGGCTGGTGTACGTTTTTGTAAGTAAACAGATGACACAAAGACAGTACCCTGACTCCATGTCATTGGTTTCCCATCCAAAGAGAAACCATCCTGCCAGGCCCCGAGTTTCAGTTACTGCTCTGTCAAGGGGGCAACAGTACTCAAAAAGAAAATGCTTTGCAAGTCCCTGCTTTCCTCACGAATTCTGAAACCTCCCCTGCTTCATTAGATTGCTGCTAGTGATAAAGCGGTGTCAGTAAAGAGGCAAGCTACAGCACTGAGCTACAGAAACAATTTAATAGGAGGTGTTCAAAGTAAGTTATGACATGGGTAATACACAGGGCAGAGAGAGCCCTTAACCTGGAAGTGCTGATCCAAACTTCCCCAGAGTTTAATGGGGTGCAGATTCAGCCTCTCAGAGTTCTGTCAACTGGCCCCATCTCTAGTTCTTAGTACAGCCTAATTTTACCAGAAATACGATAAAGTCTCAAAACGATCTTTCACTTTAATGTGCGCAGATGCTCAAAACTGCAATTCGCGAGGTTGAAAAGCTTATTGTATCTCCACACCTCCCAGTTAGAGATCCATCTTTGGCTGAAATACTCTCCGTTTGCTGCCTTGAACCCCCAGGAATGCTATTCCTATTGCAACTGGAAAGACTTCTTCCTCTGTTCCTTTTAAATCTTGGCTGCGATTTTAGCTCTTTCCTGCACTTCCAGCTTTTATGACTTGCTTTCCCTTATTTTGAAGGGCTCCAAGGAAATTCTTTGTCAACACAACATGACATATATCCAAGCTGGTTAGTGAAAATTATTTTGTGCTAATGTTTGGCTCTCCACACTCCTTTAGTAGCACTGACTCCGTTTTCCAACAATCCTGAAATCATTGCAAAGCTCTGTAAATCTGCCCTATCTTGGCGCTTGTTCGACATACAAGTAGTGAAATATATATTGTGTGCATTTAACTTCCTTTTGAACTAGATCCGGGCCAGTCAGGAAGTTTGTGTGCCAGATCCTCAGCTGGTATAAACTGGTGTGTAGCTTCCTTGGCTTCAATGCAACTACAACAATTTATACCAGCTGAGGATCTGGCTCTGAAAGTAGAGAAATGAACCAACAGTCCATCTCATCTCTAATGAGCCAAATCATGAGCCAAGTCATTGGCCTTCTCTAGACACACATTGGGGAAAAATTACCCATAAAGTGAAATACAAGGTCAGCTGTTGTCCCAAGGATGTAACGACAGAATGTTGGCTTAGTTAATCTGTTCACAGACTTGCAGTGCCAAGGGGCTCATCTCATCTCATCTCTGTACTTCATGTGCAACTATTTGTTATTGAAAAAAATACCAATAATTCCTTAGGAAGATGGACGTAGGCAAAAACAAAAGACTCTGGAGCCCAAAATATGCCCAACCTAGAGCTGTATGTAAGGGTTTCTTGGGAGTTCTGTATTTCAGAAGGATAGCAGCTTTCAGTGGACACAGAGTTAATGTAATACCTGTCATTTTACGTTTTCGAAGCACAGCCATTAACTCCTCACCAGCCACGTACAAGGTTGATTAGGGATATAAATTATAATCCCAATTTCACAGATGGGGAAACTGAAGCACAGAGAGGGGATAGGACTTTGCCTGAGGTCACACAGTCAGTCATGGCAGAGCTGGGTATTGAAAACAGGAGTTCCTGGATCTCAGCCCTGTGCTCAGTCTACTATGCCCCGCTGCTTGCTAATATTGCAAATATTATAATCTAGAATTGAGAGCAGACAGATTGGACTGCATAGGCAATACTACATAAACTGGCATGTGGCCTGGATAACAGAAGATCCTCTTTACACCATGTGCTGGCTACAACAGACTTTGCACTTCGGGGGTTCTTCCCTGTTCTTAACCTCTGCCTTCCACTGTATAATCACATAAGCGTGATTCCCAGGCCTGTTCACTGTACCTGGGACCACCTGGAGTAGCATGCATTGGCAAAAGCACTGGAGAGAAATGAGGCTATTAAACAAACCAGTCTACAAAACAGACTATTTTTCCTTTTGCAGAGCCAATTTACATTTCATGTCCTTGGCTCTGGAGAGAATCATTACGGATCTTTATAGGGAAGATGAAAGTTTGTTTCAATCAATCCACAGTTTACTGAGACAGAGCCCAGGGTGGCAGTTTCCTGCAATAACAGTGATCGTGCAGGCTGACTCCTTGTCAAGAGACTGCTGCTTCAAAATCATTTCTGAAAGATTCCTGTCACTCTCTTCTCCACCCTCCACCACTCCCACCCAGAATGAGACACGATAGAGCTAGAAAAGAGCTCTTCTGAAATCCAGACCTGTCTCCCTGGGGCAATGCAGGATTGTCCAGTGCAGTCTTCAAAGTCCCAAATGATGCAACTCCCACAACTCCCGTTGAGAGACGTTCTACAACCCGGTTACAGGTTTCACTCTCAAGAAGTTTATCCTGACATTGAGCCTAAATTCTTCCTTTCTTCTCTTTTGCTCCAAAAGAACCCCATCCTCCTTTCTCTTTAAACTCTCTGTATCATTGCTACAAATAACTATTGCCCTTGAGGAATTCCACCATGATTTCAACAATTTCCATCCCACCATCAACCTCAGCCTAGACCAATCCACACAAGCGGTCCATTTTCTGGACACTACTGTGCTAATAAGCGATGGTCACATAAACACCACCCTATACCGGAAACCTACTGACCACTATTCTTACCTATAGGCCTCCAGCTTCCATCCAGGACACACCACACGATCTACTGTCTACAGCCAAGTTCTAAGATACAACCGCATTTGCTCCAATCCTTCAGACAGAGACAAACACCTACAAGATCTCTGTCAAGCATTCTTAAAACTACAATACCCACCTGCTGAAGTGAAGAAACAGATTGACAGAGCCAGAAGAGTACCCAGAAGTCACCTACTACAGGACAGGCCCAACAAAGAAAACAACAGAACGCCACTAGCTGTCACCTTCAGCCCCCAACTAAAACCTCTCCAGCGCATCATCAAAGATTTACAACCTATCCTGAAAAATGATCCCTCACTCTCACAGATCTTGGGAGACAGACCAGTCCTCACTTACAAACAGCCCCCCAACCTGAAGCAAATACTCTCCAGCAACCACAAACCACACAACAAAAACACTAACCCAGGAACCTATCCTTGCAACAAAGCCCGATGCCAACTCTGTCCACATATTTATTCAAGTGACACCATCATAGGACCTAATCACATTAGCCACGCCATCAGGGGCTCGTTCACCTGCACATCTACCAATGTGATATATGCCATCATGTGCCAGCAATGCCCCTCTGCCATATACGTTGGCCAAACTGGACAGTCTCTACGCAAAAGAATAAATGGACACAAATCTGACATCAGGAATCATAACATTCAAAAACTGGTAGAAGAATACTTCAGTCTCTGTGGCCACTCAGTAAAAGATTTAAGGGTGGCAATTTTGCAACAGAAAAGCTTCAAAAACAGACTCCAATGAGAAACTGCTGAGCTTGAATTAATATGCAGACTAGACACCATTAACTTGGGTTTGAATAGAGACTGGGCGTGTCTGGGTCATTACACATATTGAATCTATTTCCCCATGTTAAGTATCCTCCTCACACCTTCTTGTCAACTGTCTAAATGGGCCATCTTGATTATCACTACAAAAGGTTTTTTCTCC